TTGTTTTGTTGTACAGAGCTCTAATAGGTATATATATGCAATTTTATTTGCTTTGTCTTTTTTTTTTACCTTTTATTTTTATTTATTTTGTTTATTCATTTTTGTTGTGGAGGAGTTCTAATAGACATATATAAAATATCTAATTGTGTTTATTTTATTTTTTGTTTTGTTGTACAGAGCTCTAATAAGTATATATATGCAATTTTATTTGCTTTGTCTTTTTTTTTTACCTTTTATTTTTATTTATTTTGTTGTATAAGAGCTCTAATAGGTATATATTTAATATTTAATATTTTTATTTTATATCTTGTTTTGTTGTACATGAACTATAATAGATATTGATAGTAAATTTACTAACAATTGACATTTGATCGCCATGCAAGACTCATGTTATCTTTCATTCGTTTATGTCAACATCAAGTCAGAAATACAAACTTCCAAATGTAAACTTTCTTCTCTTTCTTCATGATAAGGACGATAATCCTAAACTCCCTTCTCATTCTTTATGATAAAAAATATAATTATAAACTTATTTTCCTTCCTTCGAATTTATACAATATATTCTAAATAGGGGAAAAGGTAACTCCACGAGGAGAACTATTCTAACTTACATTTGGGGACCTTAGATTACTAACTTAAGCATTACAAGGATTAGATTGGGAAACCTCTCCCATCCTTGGTCTTGATGCAAGTGGTGGTGCCTTGGAGCTCGATGCCACCTCGGATCTATCTCTAACATTTTCACCTCAAAGGCACCTTGGACATGTCTGCGCATGTGGGTCTAGACCACATCGAGCTAACCAAGAAATCAATGATTTTTTTTTTAATAGTTTGGCACTAGAAGGATGGCCTGATGTTGCAGAAACATCCATATACCCATCCTCTCAACGAAAGCTTTAGTGAAGAGGCCCCGACTCTAATACATAGTACTTTTATCTAAGGAGGGCAAGTGTTGTCCCTCCCACACATTGAGATGTCCACCTCGGTGTAGATGCCAATAGGGCACTAGCATCTGTTCAGCAATCCAAGCGCTTCACCCCTGAGGACGAACTCGAGCCGTATGCTCATTCCTACTAAGATATTCCTAAGCCTTGCCAACTAGGTGTAGATGCTCAAGGGTGTATTACAACTTCTTGGCCCCCTTTTATCTCAGCTAACCCAACATGCAACATTACCATCTCAATCATAATCGACACCTCAACCATCGTTAGCATCGACACCCTTTGGAGTCTCCCTGACTGATGCAATGCCAGTATCACAAGATCATCTGAGGTTCATAGAGATACTAGCCGAGGGAGCCCCCTGCTTCCTAACGACGAAATTTAGTGTGTCATTGCACTACCTCTTTACTTTACTCAAGTTCGAGACTTAATTAGTAAATTTAATGGATAATTCTTTGAAGGTTCGGTTGAGACAAATGGACCAAAGCCTGAATAAGATGCGATAAAATTTTAATAGTATAAGGGGGAGAATTCGACCGATCTTACTTTGGATCAGTCCTAGTTCACCTAAAATATTCAAGAGGAGCTTATCTTAATTTACTTTCACATTTTATCATTGGAAATATTTTATGGTAGTTACTGACTTAGTTGAACACATTGCCACCTTCTACACTCAAATGTCCCTCAATGATACCTCAAACACTCTAATATGTCATACATTCTCAATAATACTAAGGGGCTCGATGTGAGAGTGGTACACTCACCTGAAGCCACTCTTGATCGGCTCCTTTGCTCAACTCAAAAAGAAGTTTGAGCTCCACTTCTTTGGAAATGTATGCCCAAAGCCTTCAACGACAATATTACTCAAACTCAAATAAGGGGAGGAAGAGACACTCTTTAGCTTCATCACACGGTTCACCAAGGAGATCCAAGACATATAAGAAGCACATCCATCGCTCATGATTTAAGCTTTCATGATGGGACTTAGTTCTTCTCATCTTTTCTAGTTATTAGTGGAAAGGCTATCAGTAACCATATCCGAGGCACTCTAAAGGGCCAACCAATTCATAACAACTAAGGCGATAGTCTCTAATAGGTGAGAGGAGACATGTAAAAGGTCGTGACTAGAACAGTTGTCATTGGTCCCGACCTCGAAGTCACCATGATAAAGAAAACTTGATTGACTCGAGCTGCCTTGCTCGAGATTGAGTTGACCCTTCTTAACATGATGAGAACCGAGGTCTTCTTATAAATAAAGAAAAAAAAATTCTTGAAAGACCCTCAGTATATGAAGATGTTATTAGAAAGGAGGGATAGATCTAAATATTATCATTTCCATCATGACTATAGGCACAACACAAAGGATTGTCAAGATCTGAAGGAGCAATCGAGGAGCTCATCTGTTAAAGGCACATTGGAAGATTTATTTGAAGACCTCAGGAACCTTCACCTTGACCTTGGGGGCCAATCAAGAGGTAGATTGATATCATCATTAGGGGGCCTACCTCGGGAGGGGATAATATTTCAAGCCGTAAAGTCTACACTTGAGCCACCACTGAGAGGCAACTGATATCAGAAGATGACTCGAAAATAACTTTAAGGGCAAGGAGATGAATTGCCTCAACTTAAACCATGATGATGCTCTAATAGTTTATGTGAGAATGATTAACGCCTTAGTAAAGATAGTCATGATATACACAACTAGTTCAGTAACATCCTCTACTTTGATACATTTCTAAAACTCAAACTTTTGTTTAAGGATCTCACTCTTA